GGAGGGGTGTGTGGAGGGATGGGTGTGTGTGGGGATGGATGGAGGGGTGTGTGGAGGGATGGGTGTGTGTGGGGATGGATGGAGGGAGGGCTGTGTGGAGGGATGGGTGTGTGGTGGGATGGAGGGAAGGAGGGATGGATGGGTTCGTGGTGGGATGGATGGAGGGAGGGAGGGATGGATGGAGGGGTGTGTGGAGGGATGGGTGTGTGTGGGGATGGATGGAGGGAGGGCTGTGTGGAGGGATGGGTTCGTGGTGGGATGGAGGGAGGGAGGGAGGGATGGATGGAGGTGTGCGTGGGGGAATGGATGGAGGAGGGATGGCCAGCAGGAGAGATGAGTGGGTGGGCCCATGTATCTCTAGCGTATGGAGGTTTAGCCATAGTTCCACGCGCCGGTCCAGCGGGACAGGCGATGAAGCGAACACGGGCAAGCCCCTCACGCTTACGGATGCTCAGAAACTCAGCCCCTTGCCTCCATCCCCGTCTGCGCAGCTGCGGGAGAAGTACGGCCCGGTGTTCACGGTGCACCTCGGCTCCCGGCGGGTGGTGGTGCTGTGTGGCTACCAGGCGGTGAAAGAGGCCCTGGTGGACCAGGCCGAGGAGTTCAGCGGGCGCGGGCAGATCCCGGCGTTCTCTAAGGATTTCAATGAGCACGGTGAGCGCTCTCCACCTGGGTCCCCGCCCGGCGTCTCCACCAGCGTCCCATGTGCAGGGTGAGGGCAGCAGGGAGGTGTAGCGGGCAGGATCCTGGTGACCTGGGATCTGTTCCCCTCTCGGCCGCTTGACGCGGGCAAGTCGCTTTATCTCCCCGCTCATGCGGCCCTAGGTGGGGTCCTGGGCGCTGTATAAGCACAGAACAGACCCAGAGGGCCTGCCCTCGCCATAGACACTGTGTATCGGCTCCGCGCCGGCCCGTCTGCTGGGGTGTGCGGTCCTAGAGTCCCAGGCCAGACGGGACGGCGGGATCATCTGCTGTGATCTCCTGCCTCGCTCCGGCCCGGAGACCTGCCGGATTGAATCCCTGTTTGAGCTAGAGCCAAGCGGTTAGAAAAAACAGCCAGGCTTGATTGAAGAACCTCCAGGTATGGAGAAGTCCCTCCCCCGCCCCCGGTTAATTACCGTCACTGTTAAAAATTTACACCTTATTTCTAGTCTGTTTGTCTAGCTTCAACTTCCAGCTGCGGGATCCTAAGAACGGCCACGCTGGAACAAACCCATAGTCCGTCCAGCCCCGTGTCCTGTCTTCCGACAGTGGCTGGAGCCAGCTGCCCCAGAGGGAATGAACATCGTGTGAGCCATCCCCCGTCATTCAGCCCCAGCTTCCGGCAGTCGGAGGCGAGGGGCACCAGGAGCCTGGGCTGTGTCCTGACCATTGTGGCTAATAGCCCTCGGTGGGCCCGTCCTCCAGGAACTGATCCAGTTCTTTGTTGAACCCCCTTGTACTTTTGGCCTTTACAACATCACCTGGCAATGAGCTGCCTGTGCGTTGAGGGAAGAAGATCTCATTCGCAGTTCGTGACTGTAACCCAATGAAAAGCGTGGGGCTGGTCAAAAATTCCCTGTTGAAATTGTGATTTCATGGCAAACGGGTTTTTTTTTAATTAAAATGTTTTATGAAAAGTGTCTGTTTTCTGCAGAAAACAGAGATGGACTACATCTCCCAGGATGCACCATGGCGACGCAACTGCCATGAGGTGCCACCTCCCCCGCACCAAGACCGAGGTGCATCCTGGGAGATGTAGTATGGGCGTCTCATGCGCTCTTGGGCCGGGCTCCCTCCCTGCACTACATCTCCCATGAGGCACTAGGTGGCACGAAGAATCGAAGCAGTTGGGATTTTGGCTTTCTGCCAAAACCTCGACATTTTTGACAAAAGCGGAATTTTGGTGTGTGTGTGAATAGCTCAATTTTCTCTCTGCACATGTGATGTTCTGTGTGTGTGTGTGTGTGTGTGTGTGAACAGCCCAATTTCCCATCCACCTCCCGAAAAGCGCTAAGCTTCTCCATTGTCCGCTTGCCAGGGGTGGTTTTTGCCAACGGGGAGCGGTGGCGGCAGCTGCGCCGGTTCTCCCTCACCACGCTGAGGAACTTCGGCATGGGGAAGCGATCCATCGAGGAGCGGATCCAGGAGGAGGCGCAGTGTCTGGTGGAGGAGCTCTGGAAAACCCAAGGTCTGGGCCGTTTGTCTCTCTCTGTTCCCCTGAAATATGCGGAGAGCGTTGGCCCGGACCCATTGCTCTGTCCTTCCTTTCCACTAGGGGCACCCTTTGACCCCATCTTTAACCTGAGCCAGGCCATCTCCAACATCATCTGCTCCATTGTCTTCGGGAACCGCTTTGACTACGAGGACGAGAAATTCATCACCCTGAACAAGCTCATATTCACGCGGTTCCGTTTCGCAGGTTTATCCTTGGCCCAGGTATGGCCGGCAGGGACCCTGATCCCCGTCCATGGCAATTTCCCCCGGGCTTCCAGAACTGAACCGTCCAGTGATCAGAAATGAGCGTCAACCCAGAGCTCTGGCTAGTTACAATCCCCTTCCGCCCCGTACAAAAATTCCCCATCCTCCCTTCCTGTCCTAAACTGTTGCTGCCGTGTTCCACCCCAGAGGTGGCTGCATTTTAGTGCTGGGCAAGTAATCCCTGTTTTCCCTAACCTCGGAGGTAGCTGCATCACAGCACTGTGTGGGGGGCCCTGTTATAAACAGCTGCTGCCCCCCGCCTCAGAAGCGGTTGCATTTCAATGCTGGAAGAGCGAAGCTGCAGGCTCCACCCCAGAGATGGCTGGATTTTTACCGATCACTGATACCGTGTATTTCAGATCAAATTCGTGAAGACAGGTGAGGTGGAGGGTGCGGCACAAATTGAAGAGGATCCAATTATTATTAAACAAAATCAGGGCAAAGTCACACCTTAGACAACGTAAATGGATCTAGGTGGTTCTCTAATAATCCAATGCCTAAAAGAGCTAACGAAACACAGCCTCCCCCATGGGGCCGCAGCAGGACCAGAACCCCCAAACTTAAGTCCCAGAGCACAGGCCCCACCACTGCAGGGAAAGGGATGGCACTGGGAAGCAGCAGAAATAGTAGGTTGTTACCCTCAATGCGGAGCAGTCACTAGTGAGGGACGTGACCCCCTAGTGAAATCTGATCTGATTAAACAGCCGGATTTCCTGCTTTACAGCTGTACAATGCCTTCCCTGGCATCCTGGAGAAGATTCCTGGGCCTCACCACGTGGGAAGCAAATGCTCCCAGGAGATAATCAGCTTTATTTCAGAGAGAATCAAACTGCAGCAGGCGACCCTGGACCTCAACGCCCCCCAGAACTTCATCGACTGCTTCTTGGCTAAAATGGAGCAGGTAATTAACGACGGGGCCTCGCCTCAGAGCTCAGCTCGGCTCTTTAAAGTGACTATAAACTGTGCCCCTCCTTCGCCAGCCATGTGGGGAGCAGAGTTAAACCTGCTGGCTTGACTGGCCGATTACCGACTAGGCCAGCCCCCCTCTCCCCCCAAAAACAAGAACAAAATTCATTTCTGGCTGACCGCACATGAGAATTTGTTGGCCAACGGAAAACAATTTGAGACTTGAATGATGGGTCGCGCGGACTGATTCCCTTCAGACTTTTAACCGTTAGAACAAATGAAAAGCCGTTGTTGACGGAAAAGATCAAAACGCTTCGTTTTGAAAATGTTTTTTTCAGAATTTTTTATTGGCTGAAACAATTGGGCAAATTCAACGTGAATTCGCTGCGTGTTTCGGTTGACCCCCCATCTGCATTTTGGGGGGAACATTTCATCCGAAAAATGTTGCTTTGCTTGAGTAGCTACTCGAAGAGTTTACTAGGGTCATTGGAATTTTCTATTCTAGCAATAAATTCAGTTTCCAACACCACGGATCTTTCTGTGGGAAACGCCTGCTTTCCTTGAAACTTTTTCTTTTAATGAGGAAAAAAACAAACCCTTTCCCATTTTTTTGGCAGCAGGGTTTTGACTTCAAACCTTCAACTCAGCTCTCAACTCCGTGAGCTTCAGGAGTAATCCTGTTTGCTGGCAGCAGTAGTAGGTTGTCATCCTACAGGACACATGCTCTACCAGGGTGTTAAATCAGCAGGATGGACCAATAACTGCAGCCACTGAGAATGTTGTATCCAAAAGGAGGGACCTTTGCTAGCAGGACCCTTTAAGGAGGCCACATGGCCTAGTGGTTAGAGCCCAGGACTGGGACACAGTCTGCCACTCCTTGGGTAACTTTGGGAACGGCACCTCCCCGTCTGTGCGTCCATTTGCCCGTCTGAATAATGGTACCAACCGCCTTGGTCCAGCCCTGGAGGGGAAATGCTGGATAGGAGCTAGGCGGGATGGTGATGTTTCTACCTTTCTCCAGGAGAAGCAGAATCCATCTACCGAGTTTTCCATGGAGAACCTAGTCATGTCCACCTTCAATTTATTCTTCGCCGGGACCGAGACTGTCAGCACCACCCTGCGCTACGGCTTCCTGATCCTGCTGAAACACCCGCAGGTCCAAGGTAAGGCGGAGAAGCGGCCCTAAGAACGGCAGGAAACATTTCCCCGGCATAGTCGAGATTTCCCCGTTCCCCTTGGGGCAAACCCCGCAGAGAGCCCAGCTGCAGCTCCACTGACTTCAGCGGAATGAGGCTGAGGTGAGGAATTGACCCCTTAAGGCCACAAATGCCCAGCGGGCAGCTCCCTGCCAAGGGCCGGGCCACCCCGAGACCGTGGCTAGTGCCTGCGTTATAGTCCAGTAACGGCCCCGCCCAGCGTGGACCTTTGCCCCCGCTGTGCGGCTGCTAATTCCCCTCTCTCCCGCCCCCGCAAGAGAAAATCCATCAGGAAATTGACGCTGTGATTGGGCGGGAGCGAGCGCCCACCGTGGAGGACCGGGGCAGGATGCCATACACGGATGCCACGCTGCATGAGATCCAGCGCTTCAGCGACATCCTGCCAATGAGTCTCCCGCACACCGTGACCAGAGACACCCGCTTCCGGGGGTACCTCATCCCCGAGGTGAGGCCGCCCGGGAGAGGGGCTGGGCACACCTAAAGCAGCGATTGCCCGGGGGGACTGCGATCCGAATTTAGCCCGGGTCCTGCTGCAATTGGGGGTGATTCCGGATTGACCCCGGGGGAGCTGAGATCAGGATCTGGCCTGGCCCCCCGTTGCATTCCCTGGGTGATTCCAGATTGACCCCGGGGGAGCTGAGATCAGGATCTGGCCTGGCCCCCCATTGCATTCCCTGGGTGATTGCGGATTGACCCCGGGGGAGCTGAGATCGGGATCCGGCCTGGCCCCCCATTGCATTCCCTGGGTGATTCCGGATTGCCCCGGGGGAGCTCTGATCAGAAATCATTCCCTCCGGCAGAGTCCCAGCGGCTCATTCTGGTTTTCCGCTGCTTTCCCAGGGGACGTACGTCTACCCCCTGCTGAGCACGGTGCATTTTGACCTAGAAGAACATAAAACCCCCGAAGCTTTCGCCCCCGAGAGGTTTCTAAGTGAGAACGGCTGCTTCAAGAAACAGAACGCCTTCCTGCCCTTCTCCGCAGGTGGGTAGTGCTAGGCGCCTGGTCGTCGAGGAGCGCCGGGCTCTGTCCCTGCTCTGCTAAAACCGGCCCGGCTCCTCCGTTTGCCCGGCTGTAAAACGGGGCTAGGGCTTTCCCGTCCCTTCCTGCTTGGGAAGCCCGGAGGCCACGGCGGTGGGGAAATGATCGGAAGTGGGGCGGGGGGGCTAAGGATGGGGCTGTTGCTCTCAGGTTATTTAGGGGCTTGTGAAAATTCCAGCGTGGCCGTGTTCAGTTTTTGCTCTTTCTACTGGCTGCTTCTCGCCTAATGTAGCTCCCCAGAGCCCCGTAGGAATGTAGGGCCAGAGGGGAACCACGAGGCTCCCGCCTCTGGGGCTAGAAACTTTCTTATCATAGACTCATAGACTATCCGGGTGGGAAGGGACCTCAGGAGGTATCTAGTCCAACCCCCTGCTCACAGCAGGACCAACCCCAACTAAATCATCCCAGCCAGGGCTATGTCAAGCCGGGCCTTAAAAACCTCCAAGGATGGAGATTCCATCACCTCCCGACTGTTGCCGGCACAGGGGCCCGAGGATAGCAACAGTGAGGTTCGGTGCCCGGAGTGCTTCACGCCAATAAACATACCGGGGTGGAGAAACAATCAACGTTTATTTGAGATCTCAAAGTGGTGCAAGGAGACAGGCAAGTCTCAAATCGAGCACACCAGCAAAAACAGTTTCTCTCTTCTTTATACATTTTACAACTAAGCCCCCCCCCCTCTCTACCACCCCCCCCCACCCCTTTCTACCGAAGGCATGTTTATACATTTAAGCAACTAAATCATTCTAGGGCTATAAATCTAGTTTGTTAGTAACTTCTCTCTAAACAGTTATTTGGTCCTGTTTACCCTTAGTTTATGACCCCTTCCCCAGCTAGAAACATGCAAACCTCAT